TTGAGAATCTTCTCTTGAGACAGCTCTCTTTGGTTCCACAACTCTTCCGTCCACTTTGTGTGGCCTTGCATTCATGGCTGCATCCACCTCCTCCACAGTAGCATAAGTGACAAACCCAAAACCCCTGGAACACTTGGTGTTCGGGTCTCTCATTACCACGCAGTCTGTGAGTGTTCCCCATTGCTCAAAGTGGCTCCTCAGACTCTCATCAGTTGTTTCAAAGCTCAGCCCTCCAATGAAGAGCTTCCGTAGTCGTTCGGGCTCCTTGGGAGACTCTGACTTAGACATGACAGCAGTCAGAAGAGAGCCTGATGATGCTTCCTCCGCGGTGTCCACCAGCAGAAAGCTCCTTGTATCTTTTTTAAGACAGGGTCTCACTGTGTAGGCCACACAGGTCTAGAACTTGTGGTGTTCTTCCTGCCTTCACCTTTCAAGTGCTGAGTTTAAAAAAAAATAAATAAAAATACCAATACACCCCTGGAAGTCTGCTGCCATGCGCTGCAGCCCTGGGCTGGGCACTAGGGATTTCAAAGTTCTCTAGTGACTAACGCAACCCAAACTGAGAAGCAGCGGCTCGCCTACGGCTTCCACACCTGTTTTCACTCAGTGCAAATGGGGCAAAGAGAAGGACTTCGGGGAGAGGCAAGTGCCCTGGCCACTGGGTCTTTTCCGGATCAGGACAGCAGAGAGGAAGCCAAGAACGCTGCTCTCTCAGCAGAGCCAGGCACTGGGATGGATCCCTCACCTCCAGAGGCAAACGCGCGTTCAGCTGGTCACCAGCAGGTGGCAGCAGAGCAGCGTGGAGATGTCACTTGGAAGGTAGCAAGGATCTTGACAGCCTTTCAGAGGCCCTAAAACAGGGCTGGAGGACAGAGGAGCTACAGCAAGGGCTGTGTCTTCCTGGGGATCACTAGACCGGGCAGCAGGGCTCCAGGAGTGGCCACACAGCAGTTCGGCGACAGCTGCACTGCTCCGAGCTCAGGCCCCACCTGCCCGGTGCTGAGGAGAAAGCAAGCAGATTTGCTACACTCACAGGAAAAGATTCATCATGCTTCAGATCTGTTCTTATTTCTATGCTTACTTCAGGCTTAAAAACCCAAACGTCTAAAACTCCAGGCTGAGGATACAGCTCAGTGGCAGGGTGCTTACTAACCCGGCACACATGAAGCCTTGGGTTCAATTCCTAGTACCACAACAGACCGACAGACTGACAGACCAACAGACAGTGTTCTGAAGGCTCCTGATGTTGTCAGGCCTGGTGGCGTCTGCTTGTAACCTCAGCACTCAGAAGGCTGAGGCAGGAGGATTGCTTGAGTTCAAGGCCAGTGCACTACACAGTGAGGCCCTGTCCAAAAAAAAGATCTCATATTTTAAGGATCCCTGTGGAGTGGTGGGGGAAACAACTATACTCTCCTGTTTGGTCCTGTTTAGCTGAATAGTATTAGGAGAAGAAAAGAACAGGGTCGATTTCCACCTTTCCTGTGGCTTATTGTTGTCATTGGTGTTAACTTTTTTTTATTGAGAAATAAATATGAGACAGTTTCACAGCTGATTAATAGGACAGTTTTGATAATCAATAGACTGTACATTGTTATCTTCTTAGTGGTTATCCATAGCACAAGAAGCACACAGGATATTCTGTCCAAACACTGTGGTGTTAACTTTTAACACACACAAAAGTACTAGTGAATTACTGAAGTACATCTGGGTCCTAAGAT